TTAGTCATTCCCTATATATCACAATCACTTTAGTAAACTGAAATTTTATGAAAACCATCATATCGTATATATATATATATTGATTATGATTGCAAGTATAAAGGTAGAATTGAAAAACAGTACAAAGTTATTTCAATAAAATATCCATATAATGAAAACTTCTATATAGTGTAACCACATGTCGTGGTGATGAATATCACTAGACGTGTGTCTAATCAGTCTATCTATTAAATGAATCACCTATAACAGAATTAATCATTTCATTCTCATAATCCGCCTTTAATTTACGTCTTGTAATATTTGTTTGGTCACCAATCGACATTGAACAATAATAGACAGATATTATTTATTTGTACCGTAAATACTATTCGATGAAGTTTTAAGCTGAAAAAAACCTTATCTCGCTACTCGTCAATTGTACTAAAAACAATTTTGCCTACAAACAATATCAATTCAGTTTAACAGTTGAAAATTGTTGTTTGTTTGTGATATTCACCTAGTACACACGTATCAGTGGGAACTGATTGGTTTTAGGTGGCAGACATTGTTACAAAATACAGGGTGCTCCAAAAATCTGCCGAAACAGTAAATTCATATAACTCCATTATTTATCAAACTTAGTCGATTAATTATTTTTAAATGATACGTATCTCTGTGAAGTTTTTATTTATATGAACAAACTGCACAAATACTATTCAAAGTTCTCACTATTGAGTGAAGTACGAAAATCATCCTTTTTTCAATTTCAGAAAAACACACTGTATAATGTTTCTCTATTAATGCTTCAGTTTCTTGCGGTTTTTTATGGCGTTTATGTGCCTAGATCTTGCGCTCACTTGGATATGCGTTTGTTTTGATATTCCACTGCAAAAAAAAGCCTAACAGTGTCAAGTCCGATGATAATACAGCTCATGAGATCGCTTTAACTTTTCCTACGATGACTGGTGAACCAGGAGGAGATGAACCGATCTCATGAGCTGCATCATCATCGGACTTGACACTGTTAGGCTTCTTTTTGCAGTGGAATATCAAAACAAACGCATATCCAAGTGAGCACAAGATCTAGTCACATAAACGCCATAAAAAACGCAAGGAACTGAAGCATTAATAGAGAAACATTATACAGTGTGTTTTTCTGAAATTGAAAAAAGGATGATTCTCGTACTTCACTCAACAGTGATAACTTTGAATAGTATTTGTGCAGTTTGTTTATATAAATAAAAACTTCACAGAGGTACCTATCATTTAAAAAAAATTAGTTGATTGAGTTTGATAAATAGTGGAGTTATATGAATTTACTTTTTCGGTGGACTTTTGAAACACCCTGTACATTTCCTATTGTTAAATATTTACGCTGTATAATTATAAACATATTCAATTGCTTGTTGGTTTTACTAGATGAATAAAAAGAAATCATACGGTAAGAAATGATATCTCACATATCGATACTGTACCAGAATTAGTCAAACTTTTAAATGATGATTACGCTAATATTGTTGTTGTGAAACAATTATCCATTCGTATAGCATTGTCAAAGTTACATTCATACAATATAAGTGTATTAATATGGCGTATTAAAGCGTAAAAACTAGAAATTATGGTATATAAATAATATTAATAATTTGATTCAACTGACTTTTTTTTAAATGTTTACCAAAATAAAAGTAACTTAGAGATACTCATATCCTTTGTATTATTTCGTAAATATACAAATTTCTCAACAATCATCAGATCATTTATGATAATTCATCATACAAAACTCAGTCATAGCAACATATGAATTCGAACAACTTTTCCAGAATTGCATCTGGATTGGTCCGGGTTGAACTATAAAACTGGCTAGTTTTTATCAATTTTTAGGATACTGAAGCTAGTGTAGTATATTTTATTCGTTTTCCTTGATTTCTATTGTTTTAAAAGTTCTAAAATATGGGCTTGAAAATCTCCAAATGACAAATTTCTAGCCATCATCATAATCCTAACTCTAAATATTAAGCTCACGGAATCGCCTTCTACAATATAAGGATCTCGGATTATGCTGAATGAATTAATTGTGATCGAGAAAAGTTAGTCAGTCATAAGAAATTAAATTCTGTAACAAGTAAAGATTTTTCACCTCGAAATTTCGAGCTCATTTTTCTACACTACTGTTGATCAACTGTCAGAAATTCTTAATGGCTTATAGTTTCCAGTTCATCCTTTCAATACAAAAACATGAGAAACGATTCTATTCTATCGAGAAAGTTATGCAAACATATCAATTCTTATAAAGAAATTATATCTTTACTAAAGAAAATCAGATAAAATAAAGCATAGATATTGTTCAACATCAGTTACTGTGAATTACTAGATGAGAAATTTTGAAAGAGTTCTTCCTCCATTCTTAGTATTATTATATATGGAACGTGACAGACTAAAATAGAAATTGTTACTATTAGAAACTCTAAAAGTTGTACGAGTAATTTTATTTGACAAAAATCAGTTTATTGAAACCGAGACTTATAACATAACAGACAGAAAAAAGATTCAAAAAAAAAAACTTCAATATAAAATTCGTTATAATCTATGCTAGGCTCATAATCAGAATTAGTTTCTCTCAAAAAAAAAACAAACAAAACTTCTGAATAAAAATTCGCATAATTTAATATTAATGCAGGTTCATATTAACATAGATTATTTAAAGATAGATGTTTAGATTTAATAAATAGGCTATGCATTAAAATGTGTAAGATTTATTTCGAATATTTTATTCATTTCATATTTTCAAGATCTAATATCAATAGAAACAAGTGAAAGAATGAATATTTTGCGTAAAATCGCAAGAGAATAGACATACAGTTGTACATACAAAATACGAAAAACTAAAACTCGTTTATCAACGTAATCGATAGTAAATATCATTTTAATTCGTTATTTATTTTAAAAGAATTTAATCATATGTTATATGAATGCTGGTCTCACTCGGTTCATTTCAAAAATGTTTGACTTAGATTTTTTATTGCAAACGAAATATTTAAGCCAGATAGTTAAAATAATCACTATAACTGTGCCAATAGGAATAACAGTAGCTAAAATAATAACATAAAGTTTGACAGATGATGTAATTTGAACATCATCTGTGGTTGTTGTTATATAAGAAACACTAGTTGTTGAAGTCGGTTCAACATTTCCAGTTGTTAGATCAATTGATGTTGTAGTGGACGTAAACATTTTCGTAGTTGTTGTTGCTGAAATTTCACTTATTGTTATTGTCGTGCTTTTCATGGTAGTTGTCGTCATACTTGGAATTGCCGTAGTACTTGAAGTTGTCGTACTAGTTCCACTTGTATTTGAAGTTGTAACGGTACTTGACATGGTAGTCGTACTTGTAGTCGCAATCGTGGTCAAAGAAATCATTGTTGATGCAGAAGTCGTTGTAGTAAAAATAGTACTTGGCATTTCTGATGTAAGAAACTATAGAAAAAGGTTACGATGATATACTATTAAGATCGTTGTCGTTATAAAATCGTTTGTACTTGTTAGTCAAGAAAATATTTTCAGAGAACTCTCAAACTAATTTTGATAAATAATACAAATATCTACTTATCGAAAAAATTTCTACATTAATTAACTAATCATTTGTGATTTTATTATATCATACTAATATTTATGTAATTATCTGTCGTCGTCTTACAGAAAAATGTTAAATTAGAGATGCGCGAGTACGGGTACAAATTGCACTCGATCAATGGACGACACTTCTTTGCTTACAGAAACATTCGTACACATCATGCATTGGCATCTATTGGCACGTACCTGTACTGCTATGAACAGTCCAATACATGAAATCTAGAACTCTTGATTTTTTCAAAGGTATATACTTTGTTATGGCTATACATACACATGCAATACATGGTAGTATATGAGATTATACAATAAGAAACGCCAATACAAATTGTACTCGCATCGACACATCTCTAACACTTGTCAAAGGATTAGAAATTACTGTTGTCAAAGGTTCTGTTGTGGCTATACTTGTTGTTTGTTCAATGGATGTTTCTGGTACACTATATAGAAAGATAAGCAAAAACGTATAGAGAGAAAGATGAAAATACATTTTTCATAGTCTCACTTAGTTAGAATATTAACATCAGTTGTCATTGATTCTATTGATGTAATTAATATAGTTGCTGTACTTTGAGTTAAAGGTTCATCAACTATAACAAAATTTATTGATAAAAAGTTACCTTTCGAAATGTGTTCATACGTACAACAACTTCCTTGATGAATTGATATTTCATCGATTGCAATTCTGGATTGAAATGCAACAGATCCAGGTTTTTTCTCAAGTTCAAAGTGAATCTAAAAATAACAATAAACAAATACAAGAATAGTGGTACATCATTCAAATGAATAGATTACTTTGTATCCAGGTGCTGCACTAGTAAAATTCACTTGACGTTTTATCCATCCATTGAATGGACTGCTTATAACATTGTCAATTATTTCACTGCTACTTCCTGTTTCTTCTTTACGTATATTGATACTATGTTGCATTCTAGTTATATTTGGTAAATAATAATAATATGTCAGACATTGCTGGTTGGTACCATTAATACCACCCGAACCGATATTCAAAGGGAAGGACATGAATTTCGGAGCGACGAAATGATAAAAACCAAATTTCCCTAGAATATTTATTTGTATAAAGATTCAAAATATCTAAAGAAAATACTTTCATCGTTGTCAAAATTTACCTGGTGTGCATTTAGTATTTTGATTACTTGTTGTCGGACAGTAACCTCTATTACAAAAGAACATGTCCCAACTATAACTATCGATCTTGTATGGTAATATGCATAATTCTCCATTGCTTGTTGGTGTAACTTTCAAAAAAATAGAAGGCAAAATATTAATATCATAAAGAAGAAGTGATAATTCTTACGACTCGATGTTACGTCAGATAAAGGCGAAGTAGGTGGCTCATTACCAGCAGATTCCGCTGCATCACTAAGGAGCATTGCTTCGATTCCTTGTGTAGAAAAGCAGGTATTGCTTATAGTAGCATTATCAAAATTACATTTGTATAATATTTGTGCAGAAGTTGTTGTTATAAAAATAAAGGCTAAACATAAAATATATTAGAGTGTATAATTCATTATTAAAAATATTACCAAAAGAAAAAATTCGTGTTAAGCAGTGCATGATATTGAATTTTTCTTACAAATATGCAATGGTTATTACATTTGTTTTTTCTTGTTCTGTACAAACGACTCAATGAATATATGTTATCTAAAACCTTACTAAACGATATCTTTTCATTTTTTCGAACTTTGTTTTTTTTTATACTTTAGATTACAGAGGCATTCATCGTTATGAAAAATGCAGCAATATTGTTATTAACGGTATTAACTTATCTTTACTCGATTAAATAAAGATAAATAAAAGAATAAAAAAAACAGTTTCTTCCATTGGTAGATTAATAGGCAAGTACCTGGTAAAAAAAAACGAAATTCTCTGTTAATCAGCGTTATTTCTTATCACTAACAATATTACGATATGTGACACTGTTAAAAATATGAAGAGATATAGACAAAAAAGACTGCCTTATTTGTATAATTTTTTTGTGAGCCATCTATCTAGTGGAGAAAAAGGCTAAAATTTATCTTTATTTTTTTATTTTAAAGAAACAATAAAAATAAATTAACATCTATAGTTACGATTATGATGACAATGATAATTTCATTCAGTTTATTTATTGTTTTGTCGTAAATCTGAAAAAACCTAATGAAAAAGCTATTGATAGAATTTGAACTGATGAACATACGGATATATAATTTAAATTTGATCTCATTTCAATTGATAGAAATGATAAATGTAATTTCATAATAGAAATAAATTAAATATAAATTTTTATGATACTATTTCTTCATATGACTCTATTTCAATGATAATACTTGAAATTCACCAAAAAATAATATTACGGAAGTTATTACAGTTTGCTGCTTTCATTTCTTTGAATAATTGATTTAAACATAAGTACATATATCGAAATTTTTCAGAACAAATTCAACCAATGAAATGTTATGCAATTTGAGAATATAAAATTTACTTTAATTATGTTTTTGTATTTCCAGTATTAAATGGATGATAATAAATATTAGAATAAATACAGATAAATGTTTTTTTAAATAAAACATTTTTAAAAACATATTCATAGTTAATACTTTGTGTAATATTTTCAACGAAATAACAACCAATATTTAAAAAAATGAACGATAAGACATGAACTTTCATGAATTGATTGTTTTACTTTTAAGCAGATTAATTTGTTTTCAAGATGGCCATCTTGATACTTGATTAAGTTCCAATGTAGATGGTAATATTTTTTCCTTTGGACGAAACTTTTTAATCCAAACAGTAATCGCAATACTTGCAACTACGACAACAGGAATGACAGTAGCCAAAACAATAATATAAATATTATTGAATTCTGTAGATTGATTATCAGAAGTAGATGTAGTAATTGTTGTTAATGCAGTAGAAGAGGTAGTACTTGTAATAGATGTAATCGAACTGTCCGAACTAATGGTTGAAGACTTAAATAAAGGAAAAAAATATTGGAGACAAAATTTATAGATAAAGTTTTCTATGAATCTAATATCAAATGAATAGTAAAGATTTTGATTTTTATTATTTTTCTTATAATGAAGAATATTGATTTGAATTTCTTTTTGTTTTTTTTTTGTGAAAAATTGTAAGTCATGAAAAAAACAATATGAAATAGATTTGAATTTTATATTTAGTTTATTTCAATAAAGTTTTTATAGACTTTGTCAAATGGCGTTATTAAATTCTTTTCACAAAATTCTATTAATCAGTAAACATATATATGAACTCAACAAAAATGATAAAATATCAAATAGTCAAAATCACTTGGAAAAAATATAGAACAGGTTGCCAAGAACTATCTCAGATACAGTTTTTGACAATCTATACTGTACTTAATTATACATGTGGTTTACTGACATAGAAATACAACTGACTCAAACACAAGATTCAGCTCAGGAACTTGTACATATTTGTGATTTTTTAATTTAATAAGACACGTTTTTTTTCTCACAAGATCTATCTTATATATATTTTCTCGTAAAACTATTCAAGATAATTCTACTTTCATGCAAAAATAAATAAAAATCGTCGATATTTTTTCATTTTTCTCTTTATTACATTATCGATTGATTTTGTATAGCACAAAATAGTCAATTACAATAAGTGTTGAAAAATGTCACTTTTCAATAGTAGTTGAGAAGCAAGTACTATTTTCAATGAGATTTCTTTTTGTATACATTATCATTGCCTTGAAAAGCAATCTCTTCTGAAGCAACCTACATTCCAAAACGAATAAATAATTATTATTACGATATTTTAAAATTATTCAAAGTACTTAAAGACTTAAGTTACAATTATCTGAAAATCTGTTCGTGTCAATGTTCTAATCAAAAAACTTGGGAGAAAAATGCAATTTTCTTTTAAGAAAAGCACCCTACATATTTTAAAAAAACCCGAAAGAAAACTGCTCTACTGTCTGTTGTTATAGTTGAAATGCTCGATATTGTTTTTACCATTGAACTTATCTCACTTTCATATACTATAGATTTTTATGAATCGTTCGAATCATATATATTACTTCAGTTGATTGCTCAATTGTAGTTGTGATTTTTATCGATACAGTGGATGTTTTTACTGTACTGTACAATAGAAAAAAATGAGGAAATGTACATTATAAAAATGAAAATATATTTGTAATTTTACGTGGATTCTGTCTCACCATCGATTGTCGTTGATGCTATTGATGTTGTTAATATATTTGTTGTATCTTGAGTTACACGTTGTTGACCAACTAAAACAAAATTTATTGATAAAAAGTTACCTTTTGAAAGGTATTCATACGTACAACAACTTCCTTGACGAATTGATATTTCATCGATTGCAATTACTGTCGGAGATGTAGCAGGTCCAGATATTTTTTCAAAATCAAAGTAAATCTAAAAATAACAATAAACAAATGCAAGAATAGTAGTACATCATTCAAATGAATAGATTACTTTGTATCCAGGTACTGTACTAGTAAAATTCACTTGATGTTTTATTCATCCATTGAATGGAGTACTTGTAACATTATCAATTATTTCACTGCTACTTCCTGTTTCTTCTCTACGTACATTGATACTATATTGTGTTCCAGTTATATTTGATAAATAATAATAATATGTCAGACATTGTTGGTTGATATCATTAGTATTCCCCCAACGGTTATTCAAAGTGAAAGACACTAATCTCGGTGCTCAGAAATTAAAGCGACCAAATTTCCCTAGAATATTTATTTGTATAAAGATTCAAAATATCTAAAGAAAATACTTTCATCGTTGTCAAAATTTATCTGGTGTTCATTTAGTATTTTGATTACTTTTTGTCGGACAATTACCCTCGTTACAAAAATACATGTCCCAAGTATAACTATTAACATTGTATGGTAATATGCATAATTCTCCATTGCTTGTTGGTGTAACTTAAAAGATAGAAGGCAAAATATTAATATGATAAAGACGAAATGATGAATCTTACGACTTGATGTTACATCAGATAAAGGCAAAGTAGGTGGCTGACTATCAGCAATGCCCATTGTTTCATCAATAAGCATTCCTCCGATTCCTACTGGAGAAAGACAATTGTTGGATATAATAGCATTATCAAAATTACATTCATACAATATTTGTACAGAACTTATTAGTACGCAACTAAATACTAAATTCAAATTAGTCGAAATATATTCGATCAAGCATTATTAAGAATTTCAACGAAAAAAGAAATACCTATCAACCATTGCATCTTGTCAAATTCTTTCTAAACATGTGTAAATTTTATCATTTTTGTTCTTATCATTCTTTATATTTAATAATACACAAGAACATTATCTTAAAACATAACAAATAAAATTCTTTTCCTTCTTGCATATTGTTTTTTTTTTGTAGTCTAAACAGATAAATGCGTTCACCGTCGTCGAAATACCTGTTACTATCATGTCTCATGTATAAGATATTTATTAGAAAGTATCAAATCAGAAATGTTCTAAATATGATTAAATTTAAAATGTTAGAATCTATCGTAATTCAAACGTCATTTTGAAATAGAATTGTTTGTAGTAGCCAACTAAAAGAACTGTTTATTAATTCGAACCTTGTGAAATTTTTTATTTTGGAGTTACGTTTCGAGAATGAAATAAGAGAATAACTTTGACATTGTGATATCTCAGTTTAAGGTGAGTATTTTATTTTTACGTTGACTGTATCGATTTTCGCATACCGACATTACCTAATTCGTTTCTCTTCGAGCACCATTATATATTGAGAGTACTTTCACAGATATCTTATTACTATAGTTTAGCATAATTTAATGACTATCCGAAACTTTGCACACATGTTATAGAAAAAATTCATGAAGACAATTCCTGAAAATATTCAATAAAATTGATATTAAAAATATTTTTGAAAATAATTTATGAATATTAATATTTAGTTAGTGTAATAAACATAAGTGATAGAAAAGATAGTGTTCGTTATGCCTCGATAATGACATTGAAAGGCAACAAATAAATGTCATAATAAAACAACAAAATAAAGCATATCTGTGAAAAACTTCTTTTTTCTCTTTGCAGTTCATTGATTTCTGAAACAAATAAAATTTGTATGTATTAAGTCAATAGAAGAATAAAATATCAAAAAACAAAGATATGTATTCAAATATCGATGACTATTTTTCCAATAGATATTAGATTTGATTTACATATTAATAATGAAAAAATGTTAATAGACAAACGTAAGAAATAATAACATGTTTCCACATTGTCCCATCTAACGACGAAAGGTAACCAATTGTTCAATCGTCTTTTAACCGAAACCTAATGGATTATAAACCATCGATCATATTGATTCCAAATATGAACACGATTCTTATCTGTAGACCTTTAAAAATCCGGTTTTCTATAATGAAAAATTTTCTTGGCCCGTCTAGTTTGTAGAGTGCCTCGATTTCAGTATGAAAAACTATTTTTTTTTCCTAAACTTTAACTATCCTAGAGAAGTGAAAAGTTTCCAGTGTTTGAACTTCCATTGGTTTTCAATACTATTAAATATCACTGTGTCGAACACATATTGCTATTGCCCTACGATATACTCTGTCATTATATTTAGACATGTATAACACATTCTGTAGTTTATCGGAGAACTCTGAATTCCGATCTTTTGAGGATTGATAACGAAAAAAGCTTCATAGAATGAGTGAGGATGAGGTTTCTGTTCCAAACACATCTCATACCCACGTTTTATTTGAGTGACAGGTGGAATGGAATCTTAATTTAAGTTGTCATTACTTAAATCCGGCAGGTAGTTTACGATATTGACAGGATTCATGGTCACGTAAGTTTCACATGAAGCGAAATAGAAAGAAAATAAACATTACTAAAATAAGTAAAAAAAAATAAGTCCTTCCGGTGATAATTATAAACTGATTTTATTAGAAGAACGAAAGGATAGATAAATAATAATATGACTAAAAATAGAGCAAAAATTGAATGGAAAATCTGAATATCAACCAAGTAACATTCGCAATGAAGAAAAAAAATAAAGTTAGTGATAAAACATATGACATGTAAATATTGAAAGAGAAAACGTGAGAAGTAATAAGAATTAAAACTTTTTTTATTTCTCTCTTTTCTTCTGTAGCAATTTAAATTTTGAAAAACAATTTTGTATACTCAACTCAATGTATTGTACAAGGTAGAAGACTCAAAAATTATTTTTTTGTCGAAAAAAAGTTTTTCGCTATAAAAAACTAGTTTTCGAGAAAAACGGATCTTTGTTCTAGTCAAACTATGGTTTCAAAGAAGGTCATCAACATCGTAAATGTAGCTTTATTTCCAAACATATATATATAGATCAAAGAACAACGTACATCACATAAACTTATGATTGTAATCAAATTGTTTGTTTTGATGGTAGGATCGAATAAAATTAAAATTATAGAACCCTTTTGAAACAAGATTATTTTTTATTTCGAACTACTTAACTTCTGAGTTATGCATTGATGGTTAAATTTCATGAGTAGCTATTCCTGATTTAATCACTTGTTCAATAACTTGTCATCGTCGAGTTATTGATTAAATTCATCGGTAAGTCATTGCATAGGTTTGAAATAACAATCAGGACTCAAAGGCCGTACATAAGAGAAACACGTATTATTGTTCAGTTTCAAACAATTACCGATAGTTTTTATAATCTATATATCAATTCATAGCATCATCATCATCATATTCACTATCTGTACAGGCGTTCATGTAGTCTTTCTTCTGAGATGTGACAGTAACAAAAACTATTGCATGAAGCATCGTATTTATCGAAGCGAAAAAACGATAAATAATCTATCCACAACATAATACATCTGTTCCATCGTCTGTTGATACAATTTTCTCGATTGAAATAATAGATATGTTTGACTGTATCTTTTTAATAGTTATTTATAATCAACTAGACGTTCTATATACCATTGTATTCTATAAATTTCATTTATTCTTTTGATAATTATGGAAATAGATCATTAAAATAAGTACACAATATGGTCACGTCCATTATAGGTATTTTTTATTTTGTTCTTTTGAGTTTTATTCTATGTTTTATACAGAGTATCTTATCTTGGTTACAAATTTTAGATTTCTCTTTATTATTTATCATTTATCAGCGATATAAATGTGTCATTCTTCAAATAGCACATATATCTTTCGAACTATTATTAATACTATTGAAATATCCATGATCTTAGATTTAAAAAAAAATTCTATTGTAGAAATTTGCATATTCTTTTTTTATTGCTCTTGTCCAATACATTTACAATATATAGAAAACAAATTGAGATAAAATAATGTATTCATGAAGAAAAATAACATTAATAATAAGAATGTGAATGGTTTACAAAGAAGAATGTCAAATAAATATATTTGTGCATTTGTGGAAATAAAATAGTTTAATGTTCGATGAAATTTTAAAAATAGAATGTGAATAAAATTTACAACAACAAAAACAACAACAATAAGAAGGAGAAGAAGAAAAACGACAAGAATTTTAATTATCATTATTGTTTTTCTTTTTTGATTCGATGAATATAAAGTAAGAATAAGAACAGGACCGGTCAATAATGAATTCATATTCTTACGCACTGTATTAAATGGACGGATAAGGCATCGATATCACATAAAACAAATATAATTAAAAACAAAAAATTTTTTATCGATTATTAACCGGTGTAACATTTCCAGAAGCTGAATCATTACGAGATGATGTTGGTGTTGGAGTATTATTATTATTTGGATTAGTAAATCTTGAATACATCATTTGAGCAATACGATTGACTTCAATTATATCTGGTCGTTTTTCAGGATCTAATACAAGACATTTTGATATTAAAAGACGTAACTAAAAAAAATAAAATATAAAAATAAAAAATATGTTTTAAATTAAAAACAAACTTCAGATGAATAAAAATTAGTTGGTAATGGTTTATAATCGAGTGCTTCAATTTTTTGACGTAATAATATGAGATTTAAATTTTCTCCATAAAATGGAGAACGAAGTGCTGCCATCTAAAAGAATATATTATTTTTAGAAATAAGTTTTTTTTTTTAATTTGAACAAATTTTACTTCATATAAAATACAACCAAGAGACCAAATATCAGACCGAAAATCATAACCAAGATCATGTTCATGAATACGTTCAGGTGACATGTAATATCTATTTTTATGTTTATTCTTATATAAAAAAAAGAAAAGAAAAAAAAGCAATGACTTACGGTGTACCAACCATTGAATGTGCTGATGTTGTTTTTGAACCAAAAAAACGACCTAATTGTATTTTAAATTATTAAAATAAATTGAGAAAATAGAAAAAAAAGAAATTCACCTAATCCGAGATCACCAAGTCGAACAATCCCTTCAGCACTTATAAAAATATTTGCTGGTTTAATATCTATTATTTAATAAATATAATTACTTTGATCGTAACAAAAGTAGTGCCGGAAGTACTTTAATTCCTTATATAAAAAGCTTTCTTTCTATATGAATTGAGAGTAAAAATGACGCTCTATTTTTCTGTATTATTATATGTGACGATAACATCACTATCATATTTCTCTTATTGTTCCTCTCTTTTTTCGCCGTTCCGTCTATAATATCTACTCGTATCTAATGAGAGACCATATATTCATAAAAAAATATTCAATTATCTTGAATCCAGAGGCACAACAATGATAATATATTCATCTAATTCTCCGAAAAACCTCGGAGCTAGATTTGGTCGAACCGTACTTTGATACTCTCAATGAAATTTTCTAATCGAAATTGGATACTCACCCCCGAAGATATGCAATACTTTCTTCCAGTTTTTTGTATTCGATAATTAGTGCATCCTACACATTTCTCAGATGACTAGAGCACATCATGTCCAAAAAATTTACACGCAAATCCTATCAGGTCCGGCATTAAAACACAATGGGCTCTAATATATATAAACGGTTAGGTATTAAAGAAGACGAAAAAAAAAACCAGAGGCAAAGATAAAGAATAACATTTTCTTATTATGATAATAGTTGAAGAAGAATGATGTAATAGTACAGAAAAATAGAGCGTTGTTTTTACTACCAGTTCATATAGAGAAAAAAATTTCTTTAAACTTTTTTCTAAGGAATTAAAGTGCCTTCAGAACTACTTTTGACATGAACTAATTAATAAATAAAAGAACATGTTTTGTATACCTCTATGCATAATTCTTTTTGAATGCATATGTTCTAAACCACTACAAATTTGACTAAAAAATTTCCATATTGTTTTTTCAGGCATTAATTTATTTGATCGAAGAAAATGTTTTATCATTTTAGCTAAATCACCTGCACTTGCTAATTCCTATATGAAGAAAAAGAAAAAAAAAATTTTTTTTTTTTCTAAATTAATAATCAATATTTTTAATAAATAATTAAATACCAAAACAATATACAAATCATTTTCTTCAATAAAATGTGAAATATATTTAATTATATTTGGATGATTCAATTGCTATAAGAAAAATTTCAAATAAATTTAAATAAAAAGAAAAAAAAACAGTATATATATATACTTGAAGTAAACTTATTTCACGTTTACAATCTTCAATTGCTTTAGCATCAGCCATTCGGCTTAACTAAAATAATTATTTAAATTTTATTTAATGAAAAAACAACAGATTTCATTATTATTGAAATTTCATGTAAAATTTTGATATTAATCAAATCTTTTTCACGAAATAAAATCTTTTGAAATCTGTTGTAATATTTATTGAGATTTATTTAAATAATTTTTCTTACTTCAACTTTTTTTAAAGCAACATAAACACCACTAAAACGATTTCGACCAGAATAGACAACAGAAAAATGTCCATTACCAAGTGTTTTAAGAATATCAAAATGTTTTAATGCTCCATATGGATCTGATCCTGTTTGTGGAGGCAATGGACCGACAACATTAGTTTGAATACTCATATCTAGAAAAACAAAAAAAAAAGAAACGTCTATTTTCTCCATCATAACATTTATTTATACTTCAAAAATGCAATGAATAGAAAAGAAAAAATTCTCTAAAGATAATGATAAAAAATAACAATATATATATATATCTGTTTATATTTAAATGTTTTTCATTAGACAAAATATCTATATTCTTTTCTATTTTACTGTATGTCATTTGTAGAATTGAGAATAAATCGAACTAAAATAGCAAATGCAGTTAAAAATATAATAATCATTATATTATTAATAAGACTATTTAACCAAGATGTTGATATTGAATTATTATTATTTGTTGTTAATAAAATTAATGATTGTTGTTCTTGATTGAAATTATTTACTAGAGATTTATTTGATGTTGTTTTTATTATTCTATCAATTAATATTTGTTTTATTTCTTCAGTTATGTCAGGAAATAATTCACAAAAAATTGAATCTTGAATATTATATGATAATGAATCATAAGCATATTTACATTTTTGTGCATAACTTGTTTGAATACTTCCATGTGTTGAACTTGTATCACACATAAAACTTAAAAAACCATTTAGTATTGATGAAATTGACCTGAAGAAAAAACAAAATAGATATTGACAGTAGTGGACAAAAGTCTTCCATCGCACTGTATCTCGACTACTATTTATGCTAGAAGACTGAAAATTTGTGTACACATACTATACTAAGAATTTAATTCAGAAGTACCAGATCGTTCGGATTGTTTATAAAGACAACTATATTTATAATGAAAGGCGCTTATCTTTACTTCAATCATTTAGTCTAAAAAAGATTGTCTAAGAAATTTTTCGATATCTGTTATCAGAAGTACATGACTCATTTTTTAACATGCAAGTAGAACTCGATCTATGTTCTTGCTTTTAGTAAAAAGATTGCTGTCTCTGAGTCTGTATTTGGATGACATTTTCATTTAGTGAGAGGTTCTTTCATGAAACTTTTTAATTACAGACAAACTTTATGTACAAGTTTCAGCTCAATTCACTGAACTGTTACTGAATAATGATCTCCATGAGTCAACAGATAATTGTTTTCCCACTCAAATGATCACGAGAAAATGACTACTATTCTAGGAAGAGTCGATGAAATGAATGCGGTAGATAACTAGTACAAACCATTAAATATTGAAGACTCAGTCGGCTCACATAGTTCTTCATTTTCAGAGTTATAAAGTTAATAAAAAATAAATAGATGAAATTCATAATAATTCTCGTTTCATTTTAAACAACCGAGATAAACTCATGTCTTAGATCTACATTCTTAGTGGAATATATGCATACAAATTTTTCAATCTATAGAATGTATGCTAATCAAGATACCGAGAATGGGAACACTTTTATCCATAATTGTAGTTTTCAAAAAAAAAAAAAAACTTTAATTTCTACCAAGATGGATTCCATGAATCTGGATGATATGATGTTATTGTTAAACATAAACTTTTATCTATTTGAAATCTTCCATTTGGTGTTAACATATATATACCTATATTAAATAAATCATTAATTGAATTAATAAAAATAAATATTACTTGGTGGTTTAAAAGGATATTGATACGGAAAAATAATTTTTCCTTGATAAATTCCTCCTTGATAAGGTGTATCATTTGGTCCTCGTATAACAAATCGCCATTCTAATAAATTTGATGATAATGGTTGAGCCATTAAATATGGTATTGGATCTTTAATTAAACGACGATAGTCAGTTTGAAGACGTTGAAATGCTGAATTTGATTTCATTGACATTTTAAAAGATTTTGAAATGAAATAAAACGAATATTTAACTAATTGAAAATCTATAATAGATAAAAAGGAAATCTTTTTTGACAAGAAAATTTTTCTTTTCCTTAATTGTTTTGTTTACTCGGAATGAAACTAATAAACGCTTTAGATTTTTGCCGAGAAAAATGAATGTGTCACCATTTTTTTCTTTCAATGAATCAATTTCACCTCGAAGACTACCAATCAAGATCCATCAGAGGTCGCTTGATTCCATATTTCCTTATAGTTAGGATTTACCCAACTCTTTGTATTATTTTGGAGAATACAAAGATCGTTTCTTTGATGTGATATGCGTTTAAATCGATATTAGAAATCTGATATGTTTTTCTGTATATACAATACATTTCAACTTATATTGTTGCAGAAATAAAGCATATATATAAAAGAAAAAAGAAGAGAGACGCATACTGAAATATAGCGATAGAAACATGGAACAGAAATGTACAGTGATGTTCTGAGATGAAATTAAGATTAGCAAACAAATCTACATTCTATTCTACTAGTTAATCTTGCTTTTTTTTTACTATTTATGTCGTAACAAATTTTTTGATTGAGGAATATATAAAATGAAAAAAAGAATTGAATTTTAACATCCATCGTTTTGAGTATTAAAAATTGTTTTTACAGTAAAACTTCTCGAATGTGGAGTACCATCGCGATCGGCCAAAGGCATTCACTTTACAAAGATGCTCATTATTGGGAGGTTTTCAGTTTGTTTTTTACAGCTTATAAGTATTTAGTTACAATCGCTTGTCCGTTACACAAGGTGATCTTTTTCTTCTTTCCCAGATTTTAATTAATTCAAACTTTTTTAATCAAAAGTAAATCAACTCGTGTTGACATGATTTGATATTACTAGCTGTTAGCACACAAAAAAGAACCGATGAGATCTTACATCAAATACTATTGCTGTTGTATAGTATTGTTTTTTTTTCTTTGAAATACTTATACAGCTAGTCCATCTCCTTTTCCTATGTGTCCCATGGTTGTTTATCATAATGCAATACATATAATATTATTTTTTTTCTCGCTATATATGTGAGTGATAGAACATACGTTGCTCACATGCAAAGGTTTTACTGTACATGAAATTCAAGAAAGTTTCTCGATACTTTTACCACTGAAAGTATTCACAACAGCAACTATTGATCAAAATCATGCTTTGCACAAGCACAATGCATCAACATTTCTGATAATTCTGTGTTTAGTTTTTGAAATTTGGTCACACTGATGAATTTGATACTATTTATTAAAAGTAAAATTTGTTTACAACTGATGAAAATCTTGTTTTTGTGTTGATTTTTTCGGATAATCAAACGGCTGACGAATACCACTTATGACATTTGTTAAGAATTTTTTTGTCATCCAAGATGATGATGTTCATGATGAATGTTCAAAAAACAAACCTGAAATGCTTTTTTTTTCAGACGTAAAAAAATATCATAACATATTATTAAGGCTAAAGACCAGTGAAGTTCACGTTATCTATGATTGTGTGAGCATCTCTTTTCCAGGAAGTGGAAAAAATTTTGATTTTACTTTACGATTTGTTCGACAAAAAAATTTCATTTCTTACTATATTTTCTGATAAAAACAATAAAGATTTCCAATTATTGAAGAGTGTTACATCGATGACACTCACTCAATTGAATCAGGCTACCTGTACCTAATCAAGTTGATTTATTATTAAACGATCTATTTGGGGAACTAGTACATTCATCTGATTGTCTCATACAAATAAATTCAGTTATTAAAATTAAGCAACTTTTTTCTTGAAAATGCAGAGTGTGTAATATAAATGAGTTTTTTTTTAATAAAATGAATAAAATTCTCGATTCAATATTCTAATTCCGATGACTATAAACTTTGATTAATATTATTTCGTGTTATCATTGAAGTGATTTCAATCCATAATTAGTTATTATGTAATGAGATACAATCAATAGATCTTGATTGAGTCCTATCAAGCTTTTTATGATTTGATGTCTTCAAGAACAGCTTTTGTGTTTAAAGTATTTCTTTCTTAAATTGCTTTTATAAAATTTAAGCTCCTAGTAATGTTTTTGAGCTGCTTTACATATCAATAGATAGTTTTTGTTGAACTTTATCCGATACAATTGATAATAGTGTTCAAACATATCTTTGAGTTTGTTTTATAGTAGTCAATTCAACCATCATTACCAGATGTATATAAGGATATGTAATTTTTTCTATATTGCACATCCGTCGTTTGTTTGTGACAAGTAAGTACTATATATGGTAAGGATATTTTGATTTAGTCTAGATCTCTTGATGGTAGTTTTTAAGCTTTACTGCTACTCTTCTATCAGATTATTGAAAACTAAATTTTTTTGCATACCTGTCCATCAATAATCATGCGAGAGAATAACGAAATTTTTCTAGCAAGTTACGATATAAACATGTTTATATAGGGATATTGAAGTTTAACCATCGTAGAACCGTTTACAAATACTATAAACGGCACCCTGTATTACGGATGAAAATGACTCTACGCAATCGCCACACGGTATATATACAGCACAAATGCAGTTATGGAGGGTTATACCTTTTAATCATAAACACGATGTATACAACACAGCAAAAATACGGTCATTAAATACCAACCTATTTTACAGTACAATACAGCGGTTAAATGGTCTGTCTTCGAGTCGCATATGACAATTGTATCAAAACACTCGTATACTCTTTATTATTCTCATTTAATGATGGATTTCGAGAGGAAGAAATGTTTCTACCTTCTTATGATAGGTTGGAGTCAAGCTGACGGCACTGTAATGAAAAAAAAGATACAACAATGGTTCACATCTTATTAATTGTCATCACAATTGACTCTCACTAACAATAATTATGAATTTATCAATGATATCATTTTTTTTTTTCGTTTTTTAAAACAGTTTATTACGATAAAAACTTTATTTAAAATAGTAATTTTCTGAAAAAAAATCATTATTCTTTTTCACTTTGATTATTTTAGAAGATTAAAGACAAAAACTTATTATGGAAAAAAAAGAGTTTCGAATGCATCTTGATTATGTTTATTTTCAATGAAATGAATCATACAAACATAAAACAAAAAAAAAACGTGTTTCTATCGTCTACACAACGTTAGTTAAGGAGTAGCAGGATAACCAGATTCAAATGTAATTGTTAATCGTTTCGGATAATAATGTTGAAAATAAAATTCAATATCCAATCGTTCATATTTATTATTCACAAAGATCTTCGTTTTATGTGATACTTGTTCGTTCATAATTTTTTCTACATGTAAATAATTTTCAATCGTTTTTGGTAATTCTTTTCCTGTATATTTGTACCATCCTTCTAATCCATGACGAGGTTGTTTTGTTAGTGCAAAACACGGATGATTTGTTATAATAAATGACTCATAGTAATCAGGATTGCATGAATTAGCAAACCGAAATGAATAGATTCTTACATTATTAATCATTTTTCTATCAGCTGTATATAACCATTTGAGTGAATTACTTTCTATAAGACCATAATGCTTTGCGTCATCATATAATAAGTTATTATTGATAATATTAGTGAAATTAAACTTCCTTATAGGCCATAATAATTCTTCGAATAATAATGTCTCAAATGTCTTCAAATAATCATCATCATCATTTTGCTGTTCACTATCTAATACATCATTAAATGATTGTTGTCGATAATAATCTTGTTTTCCCATTTGCTAATAAATGTCTTTGTCGATAAGAATGAAATGATAAATGAATAAAATAATTCACAGAAATAAAGAGAACATCTCATCATTGGAAAAATCTAACATAAAAAGAACATCTCATCATTGGAAAAATCCAACATTAAAAGAACAGGACAAAACAGAAAAAGTTGTTGTAGGAAACTTTCTTTGCTTTTGAAGAAAGAAAAGAAACAATAATGCACGTTGTCGACAATTTCATGCAAAAATACCTTGAAGAATAAAAAATAAAAATTCTTTTTTCCTTCTACAAGGGGGTGCGTTAATAATAGTTCATCTCTTGGAAATTTTTTTCGGTCTGATTATTTTAAAGAGTACGAGAAGTCATATTACAAAATGAGTAAAATCATTTCATAAAAAGAAATATTTATTATCAGAATATATTTTTATACAGACATATCGACTTATATATCGATCAATTGAGATTTTTTCAAGAATTTATGCTGCTTTTTTTTCATCACATTATTGATCATTTGCAATTATTTTAATAAAATATGATTTTACTGATACTGCGACTTTAGTTGTACTTTCATGATACAACTTCCTAATTATATTTCAATCTCCCTCAAAGTAAATTTTTGAACATAAATTTTATTTCTATGTGATTGTCGAGAGAAAAAAAAACAATTTTAATTTGCACAGTATCAAATTTAGACCATTGATAAAGTTTATTCGAGTATAAAAAAATCCTGTTCAGTTCGATATCTATAATAAGAAGTTGTCGATCCAATTGCTCGTTGTTTAATAAAATCACAAAATGATGATATACTAAATTCATCAGCAATCATAATAGTTGATACTTTGGTATCTCTTGCTAAATAAAAACCAACATTCATCGTTCAAACACTACAAACTAAGATAATTCAACAGCAGTGTAGAACTCGTTAATTCGTTACGAGTTTTAAATTTATCTTTGAGTTTTCAACTATACCTATGGTTTTAAGATTTTCTCCCTTATTCTTATACTCAGATCCAAGAATGAAATATATTGATACATGGATAATCAATATAAACCTGTCAGATACATAGTAATAGTATTTGAAACCTGATCAATATACGAGATAGACTGATTTTTTTTTTCTGTTTCTTGGGCATCCACATATAGTGAGATGCTTTGTAGGTGTTTGGGCGTGTGTTTATGTTCCACAATAGTTGAAAACTTGAAGAAGAACTTTAAAACTCGCAACAACTCTTCAATTTTTACATGTATGACTCCTCTTCA